GAGGTGGGTCCCTCATCATGATGGTGGGTCCCTTCTCATGGTGGGTCACTCGTGGTGGGGGTTCCTTCATGCTGGGTCCCTCATATCATCATGGGGGTCCCTCATGGTGGTGGTGGTGGGTTCCCCATGGTGGAGGTGGGTCCCTTCTCATGGTGGGTCCCTCATGGTGGTGGTGGGTCCCTCATATCATGATGGGGGTCCCTCATGGTGGTGGTGGTGGGTTCCCCATGGTGGAGGTGGGTCCCTTCTCATGGTGGGTCTCTCGTAGTGGTGGTTCTTTCATGGTGGGTCCCTCATCATCATCATGATGGGTCCCTCATATCATCATGGGGGTCCCTCATGGTGGTGGTGGTGGGTTCCCCATGGTGGAGGTGGGTCCCTCATCATGGTGGGTCACTCTTAGTAGTGGTTCCTTCATGGGGGGTCCCTGATCATCATCACGGGTCCCTCATGGTGGTGGTGGTGGCTTCCCCATGGTGGAGGTGGGTCCCTCATCATGATGGTGGGTCCCTCATGGTGGTGGTGGTGGGTCCCTCATATCATGATGGGGGTCCCTCATGGTGGTGGTGGTGGGTTCCCCATGGTGGAGGTGGGTCCCTCATCATGATGGTGGGTCCCTTCTCATGGTGGGTCCCTCATGGTGGTGGTTCCTTCATGGGGGGTCCCTCATCATCATCATGGGTCCCTCACGGTGGAGGTGAGTCCCTCATATCATCGTGGGGGTCCCTCATGGTGGTGGTGGTGGGTTCCCCATGGTGGAGGTGGGTCCCTTCTCATGATGGGTCTGTCGTGGTGGTGGTTCCTTCATGGGGGGTCCCTCATCATCATCATGGGTCCCTCATGGTGGTGGTGAGTCCCTCATATCATGGTGGGGGTCCCTCATGTTGGTGGTGGTGGCTTCCCCATGGTGGAGGTGGGTCCCTTCTCATGGTAGGGGATGTGGGTCCCTCATATCATCGTGGGGGTCCCTCATGGTGGTGGTGAGTCCCTCATATCATCGTGGGGGTCCCTCATGGTGGTGGTGGTGGCTTCCCCATGGTGGAGGTGGGTCCCTTCTCATGGTGGGTCACTCGTGGCAGTGGGTCACTCGTGGCAGTGGTCACTCCTCACGGTGGGTCCGTGGTGGTGGTCGTGGTGGTCCCCCATGGGGTGGTGGGTCACTCCTCATCGTGCAGCTTCTGGGGTGGGGCGGGAGAGAAGACAGCAGGTCCGGGGGCGGTTGTGGGGTGGCTTTGGGGGGGGTGGCAGTTGGGGGGTGACGGGGGGAGGTCCCACCTTGGCTCCGATGTCGCGGCTCTTGGCCCGGAGCTTGTTGACCTGGGACTCTGCGATGTCGGCGCGTTCCTCGGCCTCGTCCAGCTCGTGCTGCGCCTTCCGGAACTTGGCCAGGTTGGTGTTGGCCTGTTCCTCCTGGGGGGGGGTGGGGAGGGGTCAGTGGGGCGGCACCAGGGTCAAATGTCCTCCTGCCTCCCCCACAGCTGAGCAGTCTTTGTCCCTCTGTCCATCGATCCACCCGTCCAGCCCCATCCTTCTGAAGGCTCAGCCATCCGTGGACTCATCCATCCATCTCTCCATGATCCACCCATCCACCCATCCATCCATTCATCCATCCTTCTTCTCTTTGATCCATCCATCCA